TTTTAAATATTTTTCTTTTCGCTGAAGTCTTGAAATTTCCACACCGAATAGCAATTTTCAATAGCTTCAATTTGATATATAGCCCGACGTTTGGGGTTTCTGCTCATAACTCAGAAAAACTATTTTGGCTTCATCAAGTCATAATAGGCCTTCATCATAGCAGTTAGCCTTCCAGTTTATTTATAGTTCAATGAGACTGAATGACTGAAGTTCTTATATTGAGAGTTCACTGCTTCTATCTTTCATTTCAGGTGTTAATGGAACGTTTCAATAACGACAGAAAGATTTTCTGTTTCATTCTATCGACCCGTAGCGGTGGTGTCGGAGTGAACCTCACCGGTGCTGATACAGTGATATTTTACGACAGTGATTGGAACCCTACGATGGACGCGCAGGCACAAGACAGGTGTCATCGAATAGGCCAGACCCGCGATGTGCATATATACCGATTGATTAGTGAGAAGACGATTGAGGAGAATATACTGAAAAAAGCGCATCAGAAGAGGTTACTGGGGGAAATTGCGATCGAGGGCGGTAACTTTACCACCACTGTTTTGAGAGAGGTGAGAATTGTGCAGGGGAATGAGTTTGGGCAGGGGCGGGGGTGGAAGGGTAGGGGTGACTTCCCTAGGTTATTGGGGGATGATTGCGGTTGAGGGTGGTAACTTTACTACCACTGTTTTGCAAGAGGTGAGCATTGTACGGAGAAATGAGTTTGGGGTGGGGGCGACACCCACTGTGGAAGGGTAGGGTGACTTGTATGGGTTATTGGGGGAAGATTACGGTTGAAACTGAAACCTTAACTGCACCCACTGTTTCAAAAGAGATAAGAAGGGGAAAGGGGGGCCTACCCTAAGGAAGGGAGAACTCTCACCCTTCTAGAAGGGAAGGGGGGACTTCCCTAGGTTACCGGTGAAGGATTGCGGTTTGAACTGGAAACCTTACCTGCACCCACTGTTTTAAAAGGGAAGGGGGGACCTGCCCTAAGGAAGGAAAGGGTGGACTCTCCCCCCATCTAGAAAGAAAGGAAGGGAGGACTTCTTAGTTATTGGTGGAAGATTGCGGTTGGAACTGGAAACCTTATCTGCACCCACTTTTAGTCAGAAGAAGTAAGGTTGGCATTTAGGTTTTAGGTTCGTTTTGCTCCAATAAGCTGCTGTGAACTAGCTAAGATAGATTTACTCTTTGCAGAGCACGGTTCGTGATTTGTTCTCTGTCAATGAGAATGATGCAGTTTTTGAACAAATGGTCACTGCCGATAAAAACCAAGAAGGGGAGTCAGCGAAGAAAAATGCAAAATCACAGAATGCTTTTGAAGAGGTGTGTACATTATTAATTCGATTATCAAAAGTTAACCTACCGTTGAGTTTTCACAATTAGACTTCTTTTAGTAGTATAATATGTAGTAGATAAACACTTTCTAATACAATGTGGCCTTTTGTAAAACGCGAGTGTGTGATGAGCACTGATCTAATACTATTCGATCAGTGGATGAGAGTCTCTGTGTTGTATATTTCCGTAGGTTTTAATGAAAGCTGAAGATGAACAAGATGTAAAAGCTGCTTCACTTGTCAAAGCAGAACAGGATGCAGAACTGGCAGAGTTCAATGAAAATATTCCACTGGATGAGGACGTTTCAGTAAGTATTTGCAACACGAGCTGTCGTATATTTCACGACTCGATTACCTTCTGCAATGATGAGTTGCTTTCGGTCTGTGTTTCTGATGTAAATATGACGATATGAAAGCTCTGAGCAGACATCGTAGTCTCTGAAAAACTCGTGCATTATTTTTACAAATTGCACTCGAACGCCGACCCATTTTATGAACTGTCACTGGATTTTTTTTTTTAATTCTTACTATGGAAATAGTATGGAACTTAGTTAAAAGTAGTATGGAAGTCTAATTTTCATAATAATTGCAATTTCTAAACCATGGATATAGTATGGAAGTAGATGGGTATACTATGAATTTAGTGGTGCAATATCGCAAATTCCATACTATGAATTTCACTATTTTTTTCCAGTGTGTAAGATATGATTGTTTAAATTCTAGAATGGTCAGAATATCTCCAAAGTGGAAGAAGAGTTACGTGAATTAGAAAGTCAGGTACAGAATTTTTCCTTGCATTTATTGTTTCACATTTTAATATGTCATGCCGTGCATATTACCGACTTAGCCATGACAGGGGGCGGGGGGTGCTCGATGAGCATCTACCCCTACCAGGTCTGGCTGTATCCATCCGTGATCTTACCTGTAGTTTTGTGTTTATTTCAGCTTTCTGGTGTGGAAAGATATGCAGTTCATTTCGTGGAGACGACACAAAACTTTGTCACTGAAGAAGAGCTGGAAATTGATGAGGTAGTCTTTATTTAAACTTGAAGAGCACTATTCATCCCTATTTCATTGTCCACTTTGACATGGTCTTAGGCCCTTTGGGAAGGGCAGCGGGGGGGGGGGGG